CCTTGATTAGCTGGTTCAGGTGTGTTTGATTGGGGTTAGAGCTGAAATCTGCAGGATGGTAAGCTCTCCAGGAGCAGGGTTGGACACCCCTGGTTTAGACCAAAGCCAAAAACGACCCTTATTTTAAAGGTGACATAACATGAAAATGTCTGATTTCGCTCCCTTGGTGATGTGGCAAAGGGATCTCATTATAATATTACTGCCCCTTAATCTGTAAGTTTACACCCACGGCGCCGCTATTTTGATTTCGCAAGCGACAACGGTGTACTAGCTCTAATGCCATGGCGAAAGTTTGAGCAAAACATGCTAACTGTTCTGCCTTTGGCTGCACAGACGAGCACAGAACACTATTTTCAATCCCAGCCTCAGAGGAGATGAGAGCAGTGGATTTATTGATTTATTTACTGTATATTGCTGCTGCCAATGTGAACTGGTGGATCGACAAGAAAATACTGAATTATAAAACACTAAAGATATAGCCTACACTAAGATATATTTATGTTACTAAATGAATATAATTGTTTGATAATAATTGTTTAAATTAATATAAAAATATAATAAAATAATGGAGTACTTTTGACTCCGCCCCCCCACCCTTTCCCATATTTTGGTACCCAAATGTTGACAGGTATGTTTAACTTACAAAAATGTGTGGATTCGCTACAGGAGGCCTTTATTCACCCCCCGAGCCGTGTGAGGGACGTTTTATTACAGACGCGCGCACTTTATTTCACGTCTTCTGAACTGTTGACAACCAACACCCGCTTACCCCCGTTGAAAGGCTTGGAGGGGTCAGGACCATTTTTAATATAACTCCGATTGGATTCGTCTGAAAGAAGAAAGTCACATACACCTAGGATGCTTTGAGGGTGAGTAAAACACAGGCTAATTTTCATTTTTGGGTGAACTAACCCTTTAATGTAGTCAAATATTTTCTTTTACCTGCTTTCTCAAACTTTCATGGCAGCAGAAATTTTTTCTACCTTGTAAAGGTGTTGAAATGCACTATATTTTTTATAAATGAACTGCACTGACCCTCTCATGAGAAGTGAATCAAATGGAGGATTGCATTGTTTCGTGTGATGGGCACACGTCACACTTTAATGCACATGCTCCAAAGTTCATTATAAACTCCGGCTCAAACCCCGAGTTGACAAAGTTTATAGTGAGTGTTTATCTGATCTAAACCAGGTTAGATTTGTTTGGTTTTGTCAACTCTAGACCGACTTTGAAACAGTTACAACTTTGTGTGAAAGGCCACTGAAAGATGAAAGAACCACAAACAAAACAAATGGTTCTAAGTGGAAATTTCATCTCTTTATGCAATTTTTAAACATTACAGTTAAATACATTTGAATGACAATCACAGAACTGAGAATAATTTTTTTCAGTTTCTGTTTAGACATCCTACACAATGCATCTAAACACTACAATCATCTGTTTCCTCTGACAATGGCAAATAGGCACAGAAAAAAAATAATATTGAGGAACTGATCATAAAACCATAAATCACTCGTTCAGACCTATTATCCTTTATGGATCTGAGCCTTACAAAATATTGCACAATTTGAAAGAAAAGCAAAAAAAAAATCCAGAGCCTGGCTTTTACTTTCCATATTGTTGCATAGCCTTTAAATGACCATCCCCATCCACAGTCACCTGTCACAACAGACAACAGTTTCCTTTGTTTGTTCTCTTAGTTTGCAATGCGTTTAGTGAAGTTGTTACACATGGTCACAAAGATCATTCGAGACAGCCACTTATCTTCCCAAGTCAAACATATGGAGAAACCTCTACAAAAGCAGAATATGAAAAGACAACGGACTTCTGGATCAGTGACTTCAGCTGATGGGCTGCAATGCTGTGAAATGAGCACAGTCTGACCTTCACTGCTTACGGCTGTTTCAAAAAATTTTCTGCTAAAGCAACTACATGTTCATTCTTGCTTCAGTTGCTATTTTCTCCACTGGCTTTGAAGCCTCTGGTAAGGCTATCGACCCCAATGTACTTGGCCAAAGACGGAAACACAGGGTTAATGTTCCGTTTTAGAAGCATAAGGCAATAATCTATACACCAAATCTCTCAAAGCCAGACATGACCTGAAGAAAAACCGACGACTCGCTGATGAGTCTGTGCAAAAGACAATGTCTGTCTGAACCACAAAACAAATGTCTCTTGATGAGGATTACAAAGCACAGATAAGACCCCATGATTTAGACAGTTTCAATGAGGATCATGTGGAAGGAGGACTTATTCGGAATACAATGTTGCTTTGACGTCCACTTCTTTTGACCAATAAACTACATCAAAGCACTCTGACCACCAATAGCATTGGATTCAGGAGTCAAGCTGCTCCATACCTCGGACAACACCATATCTGAATGCAACGGCCGGTCGCAAGCAAGATTTCAAATCGCGTAAGGAACATTTTGGTGGCTTGCTGTAGGTAGTAACAAGGTAGTAGAGGCCAAAACAATTTTAACATGACTCAATTCATTTTCACTGCTTCAAGTAGGCAGCATTAATGTTATATCATTAGAGGAATGGAAATAAAGCCAAAACAATCTTTGCACGAGATGTGCAAAGTGTGACTTGTATTCAGATTGGAAGTAAGACTGCCGCCTGTGCAGCCCACTGATACCTGCAACTACATAATCAGGAGAAACGAAAAGTACCATTATTGAGCGATACCATCAACGTTTTAAACTGAATACTCCCTGTATTAAATGTTTCAATCATTAAAAAAAAGAAAACCACATATAAAGACTTCAAATGATCACACCCTCACACATGGCATCATTTGGACAATTCAATACGAATTTACTCTTAAGAACATGACTAGATGGCGGAAGTCTTCTTCGGCACTCCTCATGTTCAAGTTGGAGATTTCCTGGATGTAATTACATAAAACTCCATCACGGCTTCTCCTCTTGATGCCTTCTGGAATAATTTACAGAGAGGGGTGGTGACTGTAGAGCGTGGATTCATTCATTCAGAATGGGGGTGCGCGACTCAAGCCGGGGCAGAGTGGGAGTCCGAGCTCTCGCTTTTGTTCTCCGTCTTGTCGTCCCAGTCCGTGGCGCCTTTAAGCGTTTCTGCAACTCTGCAGTCTGTGTGTGAGGTCACTGGCGAGGAAGTGTCGGATTCCGTCTGCCCTCCTCCACCACCAGGGGGACCCAGACCCTGAGCACAACCCCGTCCCGCAGGAGCACTGGCTGCGCTAATGTTTCCGACTTGGTTCTCTCCTGCAGTGCTCGAAGCACCCAGCTCTGTTACCCCTGCACCCGACGACGCCGGTTCCTGGATCCTTCCCGGCTCTAAAAGAGAGTCGCCCAAGTGTGGAACTGACAGGACGTCCGGGCCAATGGCGATCTCGGCCATCCAGTCGAGGTCGGAGTTTGATGGTTCGCCGGGCAGACCGGTATTTACCACCAAGCCGTTGTGAGCTTCAAGCTGAGGTTGGTCCTGAGCGGCTTGCCGGTCCTGGCCATTAGTGTTCGCATTAGCGGCTGCGTTAGCCTGGCCGGCGGGCGCAGCACTGCTAGTGTTGTTGTTAAGATTGTCCTGCAATGCAGTCTGGTTTCCTTGACCCACCTGCTGATTTTGAAGCAGCATCTCCTGGATCCGGATCTGCTGCAGGATGGCCGGAAGCTCGTAGTGGTGGAAAAAATAGATCATTGAGTGCTGCGCAAGACAAAAACGAATAAGCTTATGAGCTACAGACAATTCTATGTAACTGCCTACACTGAAAAAAAGCTGAAATAAGATACCTGAACGAAGAGCCAGGAGGTGACCAGAGCAAGACTGCTGTACTGGCCGTTAAATCGGTAATGATACGCATAGAAGGCAAAGTGATACAGATAAAAGAATCTGAAAAACAGCACAAGAGATCTTTTAGATGCATTATGTGGCGTTAACCACCAAAACAACCTAGTGGGCTGCCTTTCTGTCCATTCCCTACATAAGGAGCTCACTTTGGCCATGTTTACATGCACAACTTTTTGTTTCAATCGGAATTCATTCCAATTGATGAATCTGAATGTAGTGTTTACATGAGCGCTACATAAAGCGATCGGGTTAATGTGTGTGTTTATGTCACAAGCTTCAACTCAGAACATGCGCACACTACACGAGTTTCCCACTGTTTGCACATAGTAACCATTCTCCTACACGGTTTCTTTATTTGTTTTAAACAGCAGAATTAATATTTATCTATTTCTGGATAAATATTACATAAACCGCTGTGCCATGCTGCGCTGCTTATATTTATCACGCAGTAAAAACGTCTGGTAAGACATCTGAGCCATTGGCATTTACCTGTGCTGATAACATACCTGAGCCAGTGGCGCTTGCTCGTATTTGTGTGGCAGCAGATAGCATCATATTGGTCTGCCAACCAAACAATGAGGATGATGTAGAAGGCAGTGGTTGTGTCATTGAAAAACTCAGACATGATGGCCTCCATCCCTGCAGACAGGATCAAAAAGAGGGTATTTACAGTCACACGACTTTCATAAAACATATTAAGAAATTTTTTATGTGATATATGAAGTCAACAAAATAAAAGATCAGGCATGAAGTTGATGGGAGACGCACATGAATGAGAACATCTCTCCAATCCCC